AACATTTTATATCCTAAAATTTTTCAGTTAACAGGAACAAAAATCTCTATGCAACAAACATACAGATACCAATGTCAAAATTTCGTTTAAAAAATCTGGCATTTATATAAGAAACACATAATTCTTGTTTGCTTGTTTAGAAGTCTTTTTGGATGAGTACCTTAAGTAAGCCAGGTGAAAACTAAAGAAAATGAAGCCCAACTAAGAAACAGAATATACGAATGTATGTTACAAAGCAGTATATAAATGGAGATACTATGCTGTTCAATGTGAGAAACCTAGATTTAAGAAACCAAAGGCAACTTTCAAAACTTTGCTTAGTTCAGGAAATTTAAGAACATTATGAAGGCCACTTTATAGTTTTGAAGTCAAGTGACTTATTTATGTAGAGGCAGTAAGGTATAGTGGAAAGCACCTAAGCTTTGTAGTTAGACTTTGGTTCAGTCCTAGCTCAGCCACTTACTATGTGTGTGTATATGAACAAGTTAATTAACCTTTTGAGTCCTGATTTCCTGAAAATATAAAAAAGGGGATAATATTTAGGTTATGAGCATATTCTAAATATTAGAAATACACAAAATATGTCTAGCACAATAAATCATAGCTATAATTTGCAATGAAGCATTTTTAAGTTGAAATGAGGTCATTATGAGCAAAACAAAAGAAATCTAAACAACTATTACTTTTTAATCAAAATGACTATTGCCATTTAGGAGATCTTGGTATATAGTTGTTAAGGCCCTAGGTGATGTTAGAAATCTATTTTCTGGCTGAGTAGCCTCAAAAAACATAAAAATAGAAAAATTTAAGAGTAGAATCCTAATAAAGGTGAAATAGCACTGGTCTGGGAATCAAATTCAGGCAGTCTACTGAATCTTACTTTTCCCATGGGCAAAATAAAAAGATTAAATAATCTCTGGGCTCATTCCAACCCTAAAAGTACATGGAACTAAATAAGGTGGTTAAGTAAGAGTAAAGCCTATGAAGGCAGACTGCGTGGATTCATACCAGCTATGTTGAGTAAGTTTCCTAATCTCTCTTCTCAAGCACATTTCTCATCTACAAAATGGGAACAGTAATGGTACCTATCTGTAGTGTCATGAGGGTTAAACAAATTAATACATAAAAAATAAGAGTTGTGATTAAGTGGTTAGCATGTAGAAAATAGTTAATAACAGTTAGATCCTGTTATTACTAAAATGGAAAAAAATTGATATCTACAGTCATTAAAAAAAGTTTTAATGTTTTAAGTTGGAAAACGAATTAAAGAGAAGAAATATCATGTTCCTTATCATGAAGAAAACAATATGCAGAACATTGTTATTAGTATTTTAGGAGGAAAAAAAATCTGTTTCATAGTGTTCTGACAGAAGTGATAAAACATGAAATTAAAAGAAGCTCTCTGTATCTTCAAGATATAAGTCAGTCTTCCTTCTCATATAGAATAAAATAACTCAAAACTTTAGGAACAGAAATGAAACAAAACTTATAAAAAACGAGCACTTCTAGTTTTGGCAGATTTGAAAATTCCCTGCTCCCCATGCCAAGAGAGGTACTATAGCTGTTCCTGCCATCTTGCTAGAAATGAAACAGTGCGTCATCTGTAGATTCCGTCCCTTTCTTGGCTGTGAGGCTGATCTTAAGACATCTGTCATACACAGTAACTGCCATCACTTCCCCTCTAGAGAAATCAACTGTGATGGGAGTTTTTTTGGTTTGAGTCAAAAGGGCTTCTACAAAAAGCTGTCTCAAACCCCCATGAAATCTGTAAATGACAGTGGTTGGCAAGAAAAGGCATATAAAATCTCATGTGAACGATTTCAGACAGAATCTCAATATAAGAATGCTGTAGGGTATGTTTCCTTAGGTATCTAGACACTCTCCCTCCTTTTATCCTTCAGTGGATTATAATTTATCATAGTTTCAGAAAAGCCTATAACTGAGCAATAAAACTACCACCAAATGCTATGGTACTATGTCTAATTGACTTATTTAAGGAAAAAAGTATAAAAGGAAAACAAATAGGGCATTCAGTGAACATAATACAAATTGCAGAAACAACTGTAATGTTG